ACATTTGACAATATCTGTCAAAATTTTAAATGAGCAGCTGGGCACCAGTGGCTCACACCTATAATCCTAGCTACTCAGGCAGCAGAGATCAGGAGGATTGCAGTTCAAAGCCAACCTGGGCAAATACTTCACAAGACCCTATCGAAAAAAAAAAATCACAGAAAAGAGCTGGTGGAGTAGTTCAAGATGTAGAACCTGAGTTCAAACCCCAGTACCACCAAAAAAAAAAAAAAAAAAACTTAAATGAGCATACCACTTTAACCCAAATATACATCCTATATACACAATTTCAAAATGGGTTAATGCTTGCTCAAGAACATTGGTTGCAATGGTGCTTGAAATAAGAAAGAGGAGGGAAGGGAGGGAGGGAGGGAGAATTGACGTAAGCCTTAATTTTCATCAATATGGGACTGATTAAACATATTATAGTACATATACAATTCAGCTCTTTAAAAAGATACAGCTCTATATCTACTGGCAAGGAAAATATCCAAAACTTTATTAAATGAAAAGACAAAGTGTACCATGGCATGCACGCATACTTCCATATGTCACACAAAGACTTCTCCAAAGTTAAATACTCATGGATGTTTCAGGATGGAAAACCATGAAGTAGTAGCTTTCTGGTCAGGTGTGGTCACACAGTCTGGTGTTTAGGACTAGCCCTAGAAATGTGGAAATATCAGTGAGTGAAGGTAGAGCTCCAGGACTGGATGAGCTCACCTCAGAGGAGAGACACCAGGCCAGGGACACCCACAGGAAAGATCAAGATGTGAGGCTTCCCAATGACCAAGAAACCAGGAGGGATGTCAAGGAAGCCAAGGGAAGAAAGTGCTCTGAGAAGGAAGGAGTGACCAACTGGCCAGGAGCTTCTGGTCAAGAAGGGGGACAGAGATGTGACTGTCAGATTTAGCTTCATGGAGATCCACATTGACCTTGATAGACTGTTTTTAGTGACATGATAAAAAATAAGTTGAAGATTACCTAGGAAGTAAGGAAGTGGGGGAAAGGCAAGTTTTGCTCTGAAATTGGTAAACAGCAAGTAGCAGAGTCATGGTGCCCAACACCCACCCACCCACCCATCACACTCACACAGCTACACACCAGCACATGGGCAAAACTACTGGGACCACCCCTGGCCATCCAATCCCAGCACAGATTTTCAAGGGCCATGACCACAGAAAGTAAAAGGTGGCCTATGCCCTATGGCTTTGCCCTATCCAAAAACAACATCGATGAGGTCTCCTGTGTCACCTAACCACTCTTGCCTCAGTTTTCTGGATCATAAAAGTCAGAAGGATCATACATGCCTCATCTGTGAGGATGAAATAAAACATGTGGGGTGGTTGCCCTTGTCCCCAGAGTCCAGCCCAGGTGGGAGTTCTCTACCAACAGGAGTAGGAGGAGAGGCACCACAATCGACCTTCCTAACTTTGGAGGTATTTATTAGAATAAAAGGAGGCACTGCTGATTATCCGGATACCCGGTTACAGTCCTGGGCAGATGAAATGTACAGTCACCATGGCTCTGGCAACTTCATCTCTGTCTAGACAGTGAAGGCACAGCCCCATTGTGACTAAGGTCCAGGGATTCGCTGCAAGCCAGGAGACTGGAGTCTTGGGGCTTTCATTGGTTCTAGTCATTGGCTCACTAGCAAATAAAACAAAGCCTCCTTGTCCCCAGACCCCAGCCCTGGTGCAGCCCAGCCACAGATTCCACCCTCCAGAGGGGTAGGGAGCATAGGGGCATAGGAGGATACCCCTCAGAAGTGTCCCCACGCAGGTTCGTGGCCTTGTGCCAGGCAGGGCGCGGGCCTGGTATCCATGGTAGAAAGCGTGGGCGAGTCATTTTATTGCCATCTTCCTGCCACAGCACTTAACAGTTTACAGAGTGTTTCATGCCTCTCATCTCATTGGAGCCTTTGCAACAGCCCTGCCCATGGCCACCCATGTCCCCATTCCACGCGTGAGCAAAGCAAGGCTCGGAGGAGCCACGCTCCTCTCCCGGGGCTCCGGGCGGCGTCGGGATTAGAACCCAGACCCCTGCATCCCGCCAGCCACTGCCGGCTCCTCCCCTGGCTGTCCCTCCTCCACGCCGCCCCTGGCGGTGCTCGCAGCGCAGCGCGCCTGGCCGGCTGCGGCCGCAGAGCTCGGCTAGTGGCTTTCTCATCTCTGCTGCGGACCTTGGGGACGTGGGGCCAAGCCCCACGGTGGCTGCACCACAGACGGTAAGTACCAAGCAGGGGAGGCTCCCAGGGCCCCTCGGCGACCCCTCTGCGGCGGCCGTGGCCGGGATGGGGTGCGCAGTGGAGGAATCCCCAACACCCCAACCCACCTCAGCTTTTGCGCCCCTAGATGCCGGGCGTGTGGCGGTTCCAGCTGCTGGAAAGTTCCAAGAAGGAATTCCCCCTCCCGGGTCCACAGCTCCCAATGTGCCTGGCATGGAGGGGAATTGGGGAGGCGGGGCAGGGAAGAGTTCTATCTTTGGAAGCCACTGTGGGAGGAAAAGAGCAAAAGTTGGACATGGCCGGTTTGGGGACCAGAAGGAAAAAACGGTTGTGCTGGGAGCTAGCCTTGGGGGGCAGCTGGGGGATGCAGAACCGGCTCCACCAGTCCCCAGAGAGAGACATTCTTGGCCGGTGAATTGCTTCCCTGGGGTGTGTCTTGGGGAGGGACTGGGCAGCCACACCTGGAAGGCAGAAGGGGGGCCCAGAGGGGTCTGCACCCCTTAAGCAGCCAGGGAAGGAGGGCAGGGGGGAGAGTTCAGATAGAAACCGCTCTTGGGGCCCCTCTCCTTCCCTGGCTGGGAGGCAGGGGCCCCCACCTCCACCTCACTTCCTTAAGCACACCACAGGTGAGTGGCCAGGCTGGGAAGGAAACAATCTTGGGACTCTTACAACCAAGAAATAGGACTTCTTTCCCTTTAGAGATAAGAACAGGATCGATAGATAGGAGGAAATTCTTGGATGGCACCCAGCCAGTAAGTGCAGAGTTGAGCTCTGATAGCAGACAGTGTTCAGAGCGATTCCACACAAAGGCCAGGGCTTAGAAGGAACAGAGTGGGCACAGAGGAGGGCCTCTGGGGATGGGGTCTTCCCAGTCACCCCATTCTGTCACAGCCTGTAATTCCCAAACGACAGGCACCTCGGAGGGCAGAAGTGCTGCAGGAGCTGCAGGCTTGCTTTTCCCTATCCCGCCTGGCCCTCCCACCTTGAATCTGAGAACTAAGCACTAACTCCTTTACCCATTCAGCATTTATTAAGTGCCTACAAAATGCCTAGCATCAGGCACTAAGCATGAAGCAACCAGCAAGATGGGTTGATGTTGTAACTGGGGAGACAGATGATAATAAAACCCCCAAAGTGACAAATACCTTAATTTCAAATGGTGATTCAGCACTGTGAAGAAAACAAAGGGGACAGAAGCAGAGGGTCTGGGGGCAGATTCAGATCGGAGGGACTCTGAGGAGACCCTAAGGCAATGATGTTTGAGTATAGGCCTCCGATGAGAAGGGCCAGCCATGTGAGGTTCTGGAGACAGAGCATTCCAGACAATCCAAATCATTGCAAACCCCTGAGGGGACCGTGTGGCAGGAACAGAGAGAGGCAGGTTGAGCACATGTGGGAGAGGAGGATGCGAATGTAAAAACCTAGGTTTGAGTTCTAACTACAGAGAGAAGCTAGTGGAGAGTTTTAAGCAAGGTGGTGACATGATTGAGTACATTGTTGTGGGCAGGAGGAGACCATGAAGGTAATATAGGGAACAGTGATAGTAGCTTGGACCACAGTGGTGCACCCCCCCACCCCCGGCATAGTGTATGCCCAGAGGCACAGGCCCAGCCAGAAGCACTCCCATGTATACACAGGCTCATACAGGCGCAGGAGAGGTACATGGTCTATACCTGTCCTGTCAGCGCGCCAATACCAGGTGCACTTAGCAGACCCACCTGTCTACACCCTCTGAGTCACGGAGACTGGGAGGAAGATGTGGAGCGCCCTTGGACACGACATGGCCTGACAAGCAGCACAGTGGGGGGTTGGCTGGGGCTCCCCAGGCCCAACACCGGGAAGGGGAGTTGTCTCTACATATTCCCAGGACCTTATGTTCCCAGAAGCAAGACCAAAATCCTCATGTAACTCCACCTGACCAGATACCCCATCTTCACTACCAGCAAGTTATGTGAACTCAACAGGCCCTTTCCCCTCCCCACCTCAGTCTCCTTTCTGTAAAATGGTCTCATGAGCTCAGCTGCACAGCATGGTGTTGAGGCATCAAAAGGAAGTTTCCAGATCCTGGCCTGGGGTACATGCAGCAGAGGAGGGGAGGGAAGGAAAGGTGGTAGAAAGCAAGGGTCTGGCCTGAATTCAACTCTCATCCTCAGTGAGTGGCCCAACCTCCTGGACTCCACCAGCACTTACTCAATGCCTACTGTATACTGTGAGCTGTTGCAATCATTGTATCATTTAGTTACCAGTTGCTTCACTTGCAAGTGGGGAGCAGAGTAGCATCTACCTCACGGACTCATTATGAGCAGCTGAATGAGCCCCTGCACACAGGTGGCTAGCCTCTTGCCTGGCACACAGCAAGTGCTAAATGAATGGTTATTGCTATTATGAGCAACGCACATTCCCTGCCTTCCAGCGTGCTACCTGTGTGTCTTTGGACAGGTTCCTTATTCTTACTGTGCCTCAGTGTTCTAACTGCATTTTGGGAGGAATAATAGTCCTGATACATAGGGGCATTGTGATAAATGAACAAGTACATCCATGTTTAAAAAAAAAATCAATTAAACCAGACGTGGTACACATCTATAGTCTCAGACCTTAGAAGGCTGAGGCAGGAGCCTCAAGAGTTCAAAACCAGGCTGGGCTAAATGGTGAGACCCTGTCTCAAAAAGAAAAAAAAAATTAGAACTCTGAATGCTCAATAAATGTCGCTGGTCCATTAATATACCGGTTTTCCTTATCACTTCCTCAGGTGGGCACTGGTGCCCGGGGTCCCCAGCAGGCACCATGGACTGGAAGATGCTCCAGGCGCTACTGAGTGGTGTGAACAAGTACTCCACAGCCTTTGGGCGCATTTGGTTGTCAGTGGTGTTCGTCTTCCGGGTGCTGGTGTATGTGGTGGCCGCTGAGCGTGTGTGGGGCGATGAGCAGAAAGACTTTGATTGCAACACCAGGCAACCGGGCTGCACCAACGTGTGCTATGACAACTTCTTCCCCATCTCCAACATCCGCCTCTGGGCGCTGCAGCTCATCTTCGTCACGTGCCCCTCACTGCTGGTCATCCTGCACGTGGCCTACCGCGAGGAGCGGGAGCGGAAGCACCGCCAGAAGCACGGTGAGCAGTGCGCCAAGCTGTACAACAACCCAGGCAAGAAGCACGGCGGCCTGTGGTGGACCTACCTGCTCAGTCTGGTCTTCAAGCTCATCATCGAGTTCCTGTTCCTCTATGTGCTGCACACGCTGTGGCACGGCTTCACTATGCCACGCCTGGTGCAGTGCGTCAGCGTGATGCCCTGCCCCAACACCGTGGACTGCTACATCGCCCGGCCCACCGAGAAGAAAATCTTCACCTACTTCATGGTGGGCGCCTCAGCCGTCTGCATCGTGCTCACCATCTGTGAGATCTGCTACCTCATCTTCCACCGGGTGCTGCAAGTCCTGCGCAAAGACAAACCAGCAAAGAGCCGCAGCCTTCCATCCTCCACCAGCCGGGCCTCCACCTGCCGCTGCCATCACAAGCTGCTGGAGGCCGAGGAGCTGGGTCCTCACCCAGGCGATGCCAAGCTGCAGGCTTCTGCGCCCAACCTGACCCCCATCTGATCCCAGGGCTGGGGGAGGTGGGGATGAGGCAGGGTGGTGCTGCAGGTGGAGGGGTCCTATGGGTACTGGGTGCCCCCACTTTGAATTCGCTAAGCTATCCAATTCTATTTCAAGCAGGTATGTGTGGACACCAGGCATTGGGTTGTCTACCTGGGTGTAGGTAATACCGCAGCTCAAGCCTGCAGAAGATGGACATTTAAACGAGCAAATTAACTATGCATGCAGGGGTAGGCTTCATGCTTTGAGCTAGCAGTGGGGCTTCTACCTAACTAGTGCCCCAAGGGTAATGAGGCCAGGCTCTCCTGGGAAAACAGTAGGGGAGAGAGGTGAGAGGTGGTCCCCCACAGAGATAGCAGCAGCAAAAACACCTGGGGCTGCAAGAGCAGAGGTGCCTATCCTGGGCTGGATGGAGCAGACCTTGGAGAAACTGCCATGTGTCTGGGTGGAAAGCTCTTCTCCCAGAGCAAGTTTAGGAAGAGGCAGTGCCCCTGCGGATGCCCAACTGCAGCTCAAGATACCTGGGGATCCTCTGGGTCGCCACTTTCCTCAGCAATAGCCCCATCCTGCAAACCCTCCCCCCGCCCCTCCGCCACAGTGGTATTATAGCCCTCCTCCTACCAATGTGTTCACTCTGGTTCCCCTATTCTCTGGAACTCAGGGGGCACGTGTCAACGGGAGCACTCCCAAGGCAGTTTCTTTGAAAGCAATAAACGTGCGTTTTATACAGGTTGGCTCTGTCCTCCGTTCTCCCACTGTTCCACCCACAGCTCCCTGAGGACAGGGAAGGCAGAGCTGGGAGGGGTAAGAGCCTGTGGCTGGGAGGTGGAGGGATGAAGCTAGAAGCTAGGGTGGGGACTGTAGGAAACCTGCTGGTATGCGTTGTGGCCACAAGAGGGCGAGGTGCCCCCTCTGCAACGGCACATCCAGCTTTCATATTCCACCCTGAGTACACAGAATCACAGACACTCTCATTACAGACAAACCACATGCCCTCCTTCTTTGTCACCCAGTTACTGCCATCACAAACCACATCCCCACCCTGTGTACACACAATCCCTGCTATTCACACTCTTCATTCCTTATGGGCACTCACAGCAGGCCTTTAGCCTGCTCTAAAGGCGGGGTGCATCCCAGCCTCAACCAGCAGCTTTATTCAGCCCATTCTATTTTCCCCAGAGCATCTTCTCCACACTGGGCTCTTGGAAGGATGCTGGGACTGCTAGGGATGTCCCTGAGCCCAAGATGCTCTTAATCTGGGGGGCACAGAAACACGGACTCATCTGCACTAGCCATTCCTGGGGTGGCTGTAGTTCAGGGAACACCAACACCCCACGCTAGACCAGAATGGGAAGCAAAGAGGGGGCGGGGGTGCAAGGGGGTGCAGAGGAACATTTAGTGACTATATCAAAGCCAAAGTCAGAAAGTCAGGCACCAGTAAGCTAAGAGCCAATGCAAGCAAGACAGGTCAGGGCACTATGTAGACAGAACAAGCTGGGGTTTACCTTTATTCTCCCTGTGGCAGTTAGCAGGTAGATGAGCCAGCCAAGTTTAAAGGGCCAGAGCTGGACTAACACTGTTCCTATACCCCCTAGATTTGAATCGTTTCTTGACCACTTCCCAAACACAGCTTCACCCTGCACACCTAGAGTAAGCGTTCCAGACCTCAGTCTTATCATCAATACAATGGGAACCATATCATCCATCGGGATCATAGCAGAAACAGATGGCACATCCAAACCAAGTCTCCTACAGAGACAGTTTTCAAAGGCATGAGCATGATTCAGAAAACTCACAAGGGACACTGCAGTGCCCAAGGGTAGAGCAGTTATCTTGGGGTACCATTGTACCAAGGTCACAATGGTCAGGAGCTACAGGATATATCCCTATGCTGCTGTACTCTCCTGCCTCCTGCTCTCCTGCCAGTGGCTCAGATTGACCCATCCAGAAGGCAGAAGACAAGGGAGCCTGTAAAGGCAGCCTCCTAGGCACAGGGCAGGGTGGGACAGGGGCTAGTAAAACATTAGCACAGTGTTGATGGAGCCAATAAATACCCAGGTATGACCATAATGGGAGTCTCTGCCTGATCACAGGATCACAGGGCCGGCTGTTACAAAGGTCTCGGGGAGGAGCATAGCCACCTACCTGTGGCAGTGCATTCCAGCATCTTCCTGGGTGGTTCCAGCTGTCTGCCTTAAGGGTGGCTTGGAGGTCAGAGCAACCAGGAAACAACATCGGCTACCCCAGAAGGGACTGAGGGCAGGGCATGGACTAAGCTTCCTGGCATGATTACCTTTCTCCAGGATGCAGGCCAGGACCACAGAGAAAGAGACATCCAGCCCTGTACATTCCATCTTCAGACAGGGAGCTGTTCTGAGCCATGCGGCCCACTGTCTCAGCCAGTACGTGTTTATGATCAAGTCCCAGTCGCAGCACTGTCACCATGAGGTGGCCCCCGCATCCCCTTGGCCTTCTCTTCCCAGTGTATATCACTACCTCTTGATCCCCCATTGCACAAGGACTCACAGCAAGCCTCCTTCAGCCATGTATGTGACAGATGGAGATTTCATAGTCTGCAAGTCCAAGTCTTACTGCACATGGTCACCACCACCCTGCAGCCCAAGGTAAACAAGAGATCATTTTGTCTTCATTCACCTGGGCCCAAATCCCCTGTATAGATGGAATTTGTGTTCCCCTGAAATTCGTATATTGAAATCCTACCCCCCAGTGTGATGTTATGTGGGGTCTTCAAATGATTAGGTCATGAAGGTGGAACCCTCGGGTTTTTTTTGTTTTGTTTTGTTTTTCTTTTGCAGTACTGGAGCTTGAACTCAGGGCCTTCACCTTGAGCCACTCTGCCAGCCCTATTTTTGTGAAGGGTTTTTCGAGGTAGGGGCTCAAGAACTATTTGCCCAGGCTGGCTTTGAACCATGATCCTCCTGATCTCTGCCTCCTGAGTAGCTAGGATTACAGATGTGAGCCACCAGTGCCTGGTGGTAGAACCCTCTTGAGTGAGATTAGTGTCCTTTTAAGAAACAAGGGCCCTGAATTTAATCCCCAGTACTGGCAAAAGAAAAAGAAAGGAAAGACAGGAAAAGTTGGATGTGACGGTATGCACCTGTAATCCCAGGATTTGGGAGGCTGAGGTAGGAGGATCATGAGTTCAAGGCCATCTAGGCTTAGAAAAAAGAAAAGACTGGAAAGATGATCTTTCTGCCATTCAGGAAGTGAGTCTCCACCAAGGGCACTGGTCCCTATGTCCAATTTCTAAGCTCCAGCACTGTGAGAAATGAATGCTTCGCTTATGCCACCCAGTCTCTCGTATTATTATAGCAGTCTGGACTGGCTAAGACACCCCGTCATCTCTCAACTGGATTATTTCTTCCTTCTCTCTGCTGCCTGCCCTGATTCCGAGAGGTAGGCTGAGAAGGGCAGAGAGTGCAAAGGTATTGGGCTATTGGGAACCCACACCAGCACACAGAAAAGGAGAGGAAGCAGGATGGAGCCACCAGACCTGTTTCAGGAGCTCTGAAGTTGACTGGCCATGAGTAGTTCTGGGCTGGGCAGAAACAGTGGGGCCTTTGTCATCACTTATTCATTCCCCAGGGTCACCCCAGAAAAGCATAGCTGCCTAGGCAGCAGAAGCAGAACTAAACTGCTAACAGCTGGTCTGCCAGAATGCACACAGCTGGGAGCAAGTCCTACAGTGAAGGAGGCTATCTACATGTGACACCCTCTCCTTAGTCTATTCCCAGCTCTGCCGCCAGGGGCATCCTGCCTAAGTTTAAGTTAGGTCACGTCACTCCTCTGCCCAGACCTCCAAAGGCATCTTTTCTTTACTTTTCTTTTTCCTTTTCTTTTCTTTTTTAAGAACGCCATCCAAGTATTTATTATTCAAAAATGCTTCTTACAAGCCAGGTGACAGTGACTCATGCCAGTAATCTTAGCTACTTGGGAGGTTGAGATCAGGAGGATCACAGTTTGAAGCTACCCCAGGCAAATAGTTCACCAGACCCCGTCACCTAAAAACCAGAGAAAAATGGACTGGAGGTGTGGCTCAAGCTGTAAAGAACCTGTTTTGCAAGTGCAAAGTCCTGAATTCAAATCCAAAACCACCAAAAAAATGCTACTTACAGAAAATTGCATACAAGCATTTACCACACTGAATTAAAACGGTTCCCATCATGGGAAGGCATGATAGAGGAGTTAATGATGCTGTGCTAGGGAGATGAGAGTAACATTAAAGGACTGGTGAAATAGCCCCATCTAGAAGATAACAGTAAATATAAACACTAATTTAACAGGAGACAAAAACTACACAGAAGAGGCCAACTCCTACTACCATCAGTCAAACAACAACACTAAAAATGTTGGAAAATAGAAAATGGATAATTTTAAACACACCAAAAAAGCTTTACTCCAACTCCTAAAAAAAAAAAAACTGGAAAGTCTGTTGGGTGCTGGTGGCTCAAGCCCATAATCCTAGCTACTTGGGAAGCTGAGATCAGAGGAGGATCAAGGTACAAGGGCAGACCAGGCAAATAGTTCACGAGACCCTATCTCCAAACTAATCAAGCAAAACTGACTGGAGATGTGGCTCAAGCAACAGAGCACCTGGTTTGCAAGAGCAAAGCCTTGAATTCAAACTCCAGTGCCACCCCAAAAAAACAAAAACAAAAAACCCTGAAGAGTCAACACAAAATGGTAGCACAAAGGTTGTACTACAATACTACAACAAAAAACCTACATGAAAACAACTTAGCAAGTACAGAATCTGTGGAAATGAAACTGGCCAGATAGCCAAAATTACCCTAGCCAATTTCACCACTCCCAGTTACAGAAAAATCATATGCATCCCCAAAATGGCACATTAGAAACACCCGAAAAAGAGACAGCCTTTCAAAACTGAACTTCAGGACTGCACGAAACCAAAACACCAATTAACCTTCCTTTTCCAACTGATATTTGAACATGGAAAACACTCACACTGCACCATCTCACTCTCTCTCCTAAAGAGTAAGAACGCACATCAATTTCAAATTGCAGTTGCATTAAAGCAACACCAGGAGCCAGCTTCTTCACGCTAAGTAGTATGCTGTGTTTCCTCCCCAAGGTTCCCGTATGACACATAGAGAGAGACTTCTCTAGTGAAGGACGGTAGAAATGATCCCTAAAGGTATAGTATTCCAAAGTCTGCAAGAGCTGTCCCACCTCACACCTCACTTGCTACCTGCCTGAACTCACCTCTCCTTTCCCAGCTACTCCAAGTCACATCCGAGCAGGAAACACCAGGCGCAGCCCTACCTCAGGGCCTTTCACTGTAGGTTCCTCTGCTTGGAATACTCTGGCCCCCAGACAGCCACAGGGTTTCCTCCCTTCCTTCAAATGTCAGCTGCTTAGTGCAAACTTCTCTTCTACCTGAGGTTGAAACTGGCCACACCTGCCCTTTCACGACTCCTACTTGATTTGCCCCCAGCATGTACCACTAACATGACCTGCATTTATTTCATTGCCTGTCTTCCCCCAGTTAGAGTGTAAAAATCCATTTGGTTAGGGGTTTTCTGTATCCCTTGATTACTCTTCAGTGTCTAGGACAGTGCACAGCACCCAGGAGGTGCTCAGTAAATATTTGTTGAATTAATAAGTTAATATGCAGGCCTGGTGCCCTGCTAGGTGCTGGGATGTAAACAAGCAGCTGCCTGCCCTCAAGGGGCTCACAGTCAAATGGGATAATAGGAGGGGGGTAAAGAAAAGCAAAGGTGTGGACTGAGGAGTGCTTCAAGTGGTAGAGGGCTTACCTAGCAAGCTGGAGGCCTTGAACCTAATCCCAGTACCACCAAAAAAAAAAAAAGAAAAAGGAAGGTGTCTAATGGGTACAGAATTTCAGTCTTACAAAATGAAAAGGTTCTGGATGGCTATCATATACCAATGCAAATATATTCCATATATATAAATATATACATATTATATATTACTGAGCTGTGCAACTAAAGTAGTTAAAGATGGTGCATTTTATTATAAATGTAGCATATTATATATTGTATATATAATATATGATATATATGTAGCATATGTATAAGTATATATATAAAATTTTTTCAAGACAGGGTCTTGCTATGTAGCCCAGGCTGGACTTGAACCCATAATCCTCTTCCCTAGTGCTAGGATTATAGGTGTACACCACCAGGTTTAGTGTGCATGTGGTATACATATATATATAACATATATATTAAACATATATACATAGTTTTATATATATATATGTGGTTTTTTTACAACTAAAAATTTTATAAAACACTCTCACAGGGCAGCCACTGAGAACACAGAGGCACACCAATGCAGTGGAGGCCAGCAAGGAGACTTCTGGGAGAAGATGACCCTGAGGGACTAGGAGGGATCGCATGTGAGGTGCTCCAGGCAGAGGAAACAACGTGGACAAAGGCAAGAGTGCACAGGGACCCACACGGAGGTAGACGTGGCTGGTGACAGAGTGGACAGGGATGAGGGGTGAAGCCAGAGAAGTGGCCAAGGCCTAGAGGGTGGAGAGCTCAGGCCTTACTCTGTAGGCAATGGGGAACCATAGAAGGGTTTTAAGCAGGGCAACCTTTAGTCAGACTCTAGGGAAGTATGGAGGCTGAGTGGAGGGGGTGAGGCTAGAGGCCAGGAGATCAGTTGGGAGGCCACTGAGCTGGTGGCAGCCTGAGCAGGGTCAGGGCAATGGGAAAGGAAAGAAGTGTAGGGCTCTAGGGATATCTCCCCACAGATGGCCAAGTTGTACAGATTGTCTTGTTTGGTCTCACCTCTTTCCTCCTCCAGGGAAAGGACCCAGTTATTTAAACCCTCACCTCCAGAGTCCTTGAGGCAGAGTTTGGAGCAGAGTGAAGGTGCCTTGATGTTGTCACTCACTCCAGCCTCCACCTGCTCCCCCTTCTTCCCAGTAAATCTACTGGGAAAGTTTCAGGAGGGTTGGGCCCAGCCACAGAGGAGACACTGGTGCAAAGACTTCAGGCCTCCAGGGACCTCGGTTCCCATGCCCTTAAGGGTCAGAACTAAGTGGGCCCAGTTGTCCAGTTGGAATCCCAGGAGATTCGGCTCCGCCTGGCCCTGAGGGAGGGGCCTGGGACAGAAGCAGGCTGGGCCTGATCCCCCAGGACCAGTCATCCTAAAGTTTTTACAATCTGAGCCCACCTACTGCACCCCCAGACAGAGCTCTGGGTCCCAGCCTGGGGCCCTGGGAGTCCACGGATTGACTCCTATTGTGGGGAAATGGGACCTTATTGCCAAAACCCCCAGGCCTTGCACCCATCTGCCACTCCACTTTCCTTAGCTGCCCCAGCCTCCACCAGCCTTTTCTGCCCCTCTGAGACCAACCCATAGAACCTTTTTGTTACAAACATTTTATCAGCGTTTTTAGCCACTGCCTTATATACTTTAATGTACCAAAAGTACATGAAACTCTTTGATTGGATTTCCCATCAACCCTCCATGATGGGTCCAATTCCTGTCCTCATTCTGCAAAGACAGAACTAAGCTTCCAGACTTAACCGACTTGCCTAGGGCCACAGGAGGTAACAGTTGTCTCACCAGCTGGGCTCTGCCACCCTGGGCAGTGACACCATATCAAGACCTCACAACTCCAGGTGCCCTTGCCCACACTGTCCAGGCGGAGTAAAAGATCCAGGAGTGCTCTTTTACTCCGCCTGGCTAACACAGTCCCAAAACAAGCTCCGTGACTCCCCTGACGCTCCCATAGAAAACTTCTCACATTTGTAATTTTACTGTCACCCAAGGGCTCACCTGGCCAATTTCTGCACCAGTCAGTGAGTGCTGGAGCCCAAGACCAGGTCTGGAGGGTTGATGGTGGTACTTCTGAGGGAGGGACTGCAGGAAGTCCCAAAAGGTGATAAGTGGTCAAGGAGATGCCTCTCCTTCCCAGGCTGACCCGTGGGAACCACCAGTTTCCGAGTTCCCCTGCATGCCCCACCATGCAGTCTCTCTCTTCTCTTCTCTACAAATTATTTTTTTTTTACAGATTTTTGAATTTTTAATATATTATATATAAAACCATAGAGACCACGCTTCTCTACAAATAAAATCTTTCTGACCTCTGCCGCTGGAGCCAGCCTGTGCTCTCATTCTCAGAGCCGACTGAAGAACCCTGAGCACTTGAAATTCCTGGGCGGGTCGTCTGTGCATCACTTCCAGCTGCACACTCCGTCCTTAATCTCATTAATGTTCATCCACACAGCAGGCCTGAATGCTTGAGAGTGAGCTCTAACTTTCATTCCCTTTGAAGCCTCTTTCCCATTTAGAGGCATGAGAATGGGAGTCAAGCTACAGATCAGGAGGCTCCCACCCCCAGTCTCAAGGGGCGCAAGGGAATCGCTTAGTGGCCTTCGATTGTGTAGCCTGACCAGGAGCAGGGATGGTTGAGAATTCTGGAAGATCATAAGGTATCTGGAGCCCCCACCAACTCCATCGACTCTCCCATTGTGGGACTCATATCCCAATGAGCCGTGATTGCTAAGTCCCGGCACACTAATGAGAGATCCCAGCCCCCGCATCTCAACCCCATACACACTTCCCAACCCCTCAGCCAGTTGCCAGATCTGCAACTGAACTGAACTATAATCCCTTCAAATCCAGGCGCCCTGAAAGATCCTAGTCTTGGAAATCCTGTTCCACGGATGCTGGGATACCGGATGGGAGACAGTGGAAAACAGAAGGAGGGGGCTGGTCAGTCCGTCGTCCCCGTCCCCGCCCCCCTCACCGGCGCCCTCCCTGTGGCGTTTCCTGCCCCCACCCCCGCCCCTTAGCTCTATTTAAGGCGCCCCCGCTGTCTGCGCGCTTCAGCAGGGCTCCCGCGGGCGCCGCTCCGGCCATCGTCCCCACCTCCACCTGGGCGGGCCCAGCAGGCAGGCGGTGAGTTGGGGAGCGGGTGACGGCGGGGGACTGAGGGTTGCTGCCGGGCGCCAGCAAGATCAGAGCCACCCCAATCGGGTTCACCTAGCCTGTCTTTGGCCAGGCTCTTACAAGAGAGGGAAACTGAGCCGCCTAGATCTTGTTACTTATTCAAGCCCCCAGGTGGTAAGAGGGCGGCACTATTTGGACCCAGATCTTGTTCCAGAGCCTGGTTCTAAACAGCTTTCACCAGGGAACAGGCATCTCCCCACTTCTTTCCCCCTGTCTTTCTTCCCCCTAAATGTTCTGAGAACTTTGTGACCTGTGCCTCCATCCTGCAACGAGAATTCAAGAGCCTAGCTTTTGGAGGTGAGGGTGGGGTGAGGATGGAGGCAGAGAACAGGATCAAGTGCCCCCTCTAAGTCACAGGTGTTCATTATTGTTGACAGGTGGAGCCAATCATGATGTGGTTCTCATCTTCTAAGCCCCTCTCACTTCCATCCTCCCACACCCAGGCAAGGGCAAAGATTAGAAAGAGTGAGGCCAGCTGATGAGGCATGGGGTGCAGGGACCCAAGGTTTGACCTCCTAAGTACCTGAAGATAATGCTCTTCTACTACCCCTGCTATCTAGGAGTAGCCAGCCAACCTTGGGCAAAAGGGAGGAAGGCTATAGCATGGCTTTGGGGCCTTGGATAAGTTCCTCAGATTCTCTGTTCCATTAGGTAAAGGAACCTCAACTCCATCTAGATCTCCTTGGGCTGTGGCCATCCTGGGGCTTTGGCTGGGGACAAGAAGGCACAAATACATGAGACAGGGACCCTAGTCACAACCCTGGCATTCAGAGAAGCAAGAGTATTAAAAAGAGTTTAGCAATCCAGGCCCAGTGGCTCACACCTGTAATCCTAGCTACCCAGAAAGCAAAGATCAGGAGGATTGCAATCTGAAGCCAGCCCCAGGCAAATATTTCACGAGACCCTATCTCGGAAAACCCCAACACAAAAATAGGGCCGGTGGAGTGGTTCAAGGTGTGGGCCCTGAGTTTAGACCCCAGCACCACAAAAAAAAAAAAAAAAAAAAAAGTTTAACATCCCATCACCCTAAGCTCTGCATGGGCCCTGACTTCCTGCAAGCCAGGGTCTCCTTGCAGGTAAAATAGGCATGGCAGGCCTCCCTGACAGATTGTTGCTAGGATAAGCTGAGAAAGGTACTGTTACTGCCTTGCTGACCTGCTCTCTGTCTCCCTGCAGACAGAGGAGGCCCAGGAACCATGGGTGACTGGGGCTTCCTGGAGAAACTGCTGGACCAGGTCCAGGAGCACTCCACCGTGGTGGGCAAGATCTGGCTGACAGTGCTCTTCATCTTCCGAATCCTCATCCTGGGTCTGGCAGGCGAGTCGGTGTGGGGTGATGAGCAGTCCGATTTTGAATGTAACACAGCCCAGCCAGGCTGCACCAACGTCTGCTATGACCAGGCCTTCCCCATCTCCCACATCCGATACTGGGTGCTGCAGTTCCTCTTCGTCAGCACACCCACTCTGGTCTACCTAGGCCATGTCATCTACCTGTCTCGGCGAGAAGAGCGGCTGCGGCAGAAAGAAGGGGAGCTGCGAGCCCTGCCAGCCAAGGACCCACATGTGGAGAGGGCACTGGCAGCCATAGAACGTCAGATGGCCAAGATCTCGGTGGCGGAGGATGGTCACCTACGGATCCGAGGGGCGCTGATGGGTACCTATGTGGCCAGCGTGCTGTGCAAGAGCATACTAGAGGCAGGCTTCCTCTATGGGCAGTGGCGCCTCTATGGCTGGACCATGGAGCCTGTGTTTGTGTGCCAGCGTGCGCCCTGCCCCTACCTCGTGGACTGCTTTGTCTCTCGCCCCACAGAGAAGACCATCTTTATCATCTTCATGCTGGTGGTTGGACTTATCTCCCTAGTGCTCAACTTGCTGGAGTTGTTACACCTGCTATGCCGCAGCCTCAGCCGGGGGATAAGGGCACAGCATGGCCAGGACACCTCCACAGCCCAGGGCCCCTCCTCGGACCCCTATTCTGACCAGGTCTTCTTCTACCTCCCCATGGGCGAGGGGCCCTCATCTCCTCCATGCCCCACCTACAATGGGCTCTCTTCCAGTGAGCAAAACTGGGCTAACTTGACTACAGAGGAGAGGCTGACATCTTCCAGGCCCCCCCTCTTCCTAGACCCACCCCATCAGAGTGGCCAGAAATCCCCCAGTCGCCCGAGCAGCTCTGCTTCCAAGAAGCAGTATGTGTAGAGAGCCTGGGGCTTATGCCCCTCAACAGAGGGATCCTGACAAGTCTGGCAGCCTTGAATGCCTCCTCCTCAGATGCTCTGCAGAGGTGACTGGGACAGGACAGTGGATGCTTGCTGGCTAGAGAGCCTCATTGCAAGTTCTGGAATACCTGGGACCATCCTGGTGACAGAGGGGGCATTATGGCTTCCTCTCCGTAATGTGGCTTTGCCCTAGGCACAGACAGAGCCAGCTGGGGGTGCTCATGAGTGTTGCATGCCCTCTGACCTTTTTTTACCTGATCCAGAGGGACCCATAGCTAACTGAGTCCACCCTTACAGAAGAGTCTGCCCAGGCTGCCCTCACACCTTCTCCTCCTGGGAAAAGGCTGATACAGGCTGCTGGGTCAGCCTTGGTCACATGGACAGACAGAGCCTGAGCTGGATCTGGCCCTGTCCAGGGGACTGACTGGTGCCTTGTTTCCATCACTCCTTCCTAGGTCCACTGTTTATGCTTCTAAAATAAACAGGACTTGATAGCAAACTAGGTGTGTACTGATGCTATTGTGTGCTTTGGCGCTGGGGGAGTGGCCTCCCTATTTCTCAGTTTTGTATAATCTATATTTGGTCTCTGCAGCCCCAACTCCAGCCAGCACCTTAAACCCTCAAACTTGAACTTTCAACTTCTCAGCAGCCTGAGTCCTAAATGGTCCACCTTTTGAAATGCCCAGGTGCTGGCCTTTTTTCTTCCCCACTGCCTCAGCCCAGTAATTGGTGGCTAGAGCAGTATCCTTGCCCATTCTGCCCCATACCCATCTGGTCCTGGCCATGCTGTCTGCTGCAGTGTGCTTTCTGGACACTGTGCTCTCCAGGTGTACCTGCTGCCATGTCCTTCACAGTCCAACTCGAATGCATCCCATGCACCCATCCCTCCTCATCATGGACCCCTTTGGGATTTTGGAAGGGAGGTTTAGGTTATTGTCCCTCCTATTGCAGACCTTTCTAGTCTGCCCACAAGAAGGAGCAACTCAAGGGTGTGCATTGTAGCTTCCCTCCATGTACCCACAATGCAGCTGGAGGCTCTCTTCCCACTATTCTAAACCCCACAGCCTCTTAAACACTGGCAGACCTGGAGAAGGCAGAGCATTGGTGCAGAAGGAAGCATAAGGTGAACTCTGGTATCAGAGGGTCCTGAATTGAAATGCTGCCTCCAACATGTACCAACCATGTGGTTTGGAGTCCATTGATTCTGAGTTATGGTTTTCTCATCTCTAAAATAAAGATAGCACGATAAACAAAAGCGAAAATGTGACTGTGCCTGGTTCATAATAACCAAGTAGTAAAACTTCTACACTTTCCAGCAAGGCCTGCAACATAGGTCTTTCCTCCTCCAGGAAGCCCTTCCTGACTTCTCTAACAATGCCCTCCACCTCTCAGGATCTGAACCACTGCTCAGAACATGTCCATCTCAGTGAGTCTTTAAGTGCTGCTGGAAAGACACATTTACTCCCCGGAGGCCCAGCCCAGCACTAGTTCTGAGTAAGAAGTGTAGGAACGGGTTAGACTAGGCAGAAAGAAGGCAGTTCTCATTTTGAAACGGTATAACCCCAAGAGATTGAGTTCCCCTGACAAGGTGCAGGCCAGAGGATGTGGTCCTGGAGCCAGTCCTACCTGAGGTCCTGAGAGATACCTGTTTCTGATATCCCCTACCTGTCCTCACTTGGAAAGGCAGGAGTTTAAGTGAGAAGTGAGCTTCCCAATCTTCAAAGTTCACCTTCTCTAGACTTAGTTTGGGGACTGGGGTAAGGCCAGGGCTCAGGACTGGGACATTTGGCAAGTCTGAGTTTGGGATCCAGACAGGTGGCCAACAAACACAGGGCAAATGGTTGGGGGCTTACAGGTGAGGATAGCATGGTGCTTGGGATGAGATGGTTTGGGGAAGGAAGCATGGTATGAAGATTTCTGTCTTCATATGAGGAACACTGTGTCCCATCCCACCCATCTTTTTTCACCAGAGCTGCCTAACAAAGGTCCACACATGGGATAGCTGGAACACAAATGTATTCCCTCACACATTTGTGGGGCTGCAAGTCCAAGACCAAGGTTATCTGAAGAGTTGGTTCCTTCTCAGGGCTGGAAGGGAGAATGTCCCATGTCCTTCTCCAGGCTTCTGGTAGTTTTCTGGTCATCTTTTGCTTTTCTTGACTTCTTCATATGACAGTTTCTTTCTCCTTTCTCTCTCTCTCTCTCTCTCTCTCTCTCTGTGTGTGTGTGTGTGTGTATCCAAATTTACCTCTTTTTAAAAGGACACCAATCACTGGATTTGGACCAATGATTCAATTTTTCTAACTTGATTCTCTCTAGAAAGACCCTATTCTAAGACCCCTAATAAGGTTACATTCTGAGGTACTGGGAGTTAAGACTTTAGTGTATCTTTGAGGGGAAGCACAGTTCAAGCCATATACCACCTCTTGACCTCCTCACCTCCAAGCATTGGTCAGGAAGGCTGAGGAGAATCTGAAGTTCTGTGGAACGCAGGCCACTCCTTGGCAATGTGGCCCAGATGAAAGCAGGTTTACATCTCACTTCTGGGGCTTGAACTCAGTGCTTCGTGCTTGTGAGGCAGGATCTCTACCACCTGAGCCACATCCCCAGCTCCACATATCTTACTTCTTCCTTTGCCCCTTCCTTTCACCCACCAGCCTATCCTTGACTATCACCAAAACCTAAGTGGATAACAGATGGCTCTAAGACACAGAAAGAGCATCCATCATGGAGTTAGGCAGCTTGGCTCCTGCCTCCCCACCTCACACTCAAACTACTACAATTCTTTCCATTCTCTATGCCTCAGTTTCCCTATTGTGAAATGACAGAGCTGGGTGAGAAACAAGACAGTAGGTATGAGTAGCAGTACATGGGGGAACTTGTCACTAATCACTGGTCCAGAGCTTATGAGTGACATGGTGTTATCATGACTTAGAAGAGATTTAAGGTTAGTTCTATAAAAGAGCACTTGAATTTACATTGTCTTCCTGTGTAAGAAAGGTATGAGGTTACAAGAGGTCCACTGGCAATTTTGCATAACCCTAGGTCATTTTATCTGTGACCCATGGGAGCATGTGAACATCATAGACCACACATAAACAAAGCAGATTGCTGCCAGGCTGCTGATACCAAAACATCTTCCCAATCAGTGTGCTGTCTACCTGGCCACTGGGTGGCTGACCTCCAGCACATTGACTGGGTATCCTTCTTTCCTTGCCATGCCTCCACCTGCCCATGGATGCTTGCAAGTAAAGGTATCCATCACCAAACTGCCTGAACATCTTTCTCCCAACTCGTTAAGCTTTTCCCACCCTTGGTTCTGATCCCAGGAACTACATGGCACTCAGCCGTGCAGTCTTCTCAAACTGCAACCACATGCAGACAGCCACTGAACTTGGCTCCTCCCATTCCTCAGGGAACCCAGATCTCCAGGGCTCTCTGACTGACCTCAAACTTGTCTACTTTCCTTTACATGTACCACTGTCCCCTGCATGCTGGACATAATACTCTGTCAATCAGAATCCAGGTTATCACCTCTTACCCTAAAACTTTTACCTAAGATGACATCAGTTTTTATATTTTCTTTCCTTTTTCACATAAGAATTTTTTTTTCCTGTATTTTAAAGGTAATATATGATCATTGTAGAAGTCCCACTATCTGGGATTCACAACTGTTAGTCCTCATAAATCACTCCTTCCTATTTTCTCCTGTATTTATGTTTAAATAAAATGTGAATATAAAGGTGTGCCTACAATTTTATACTCTGATTTTTTTCATTTTACATTATCACAAGCCTTTTCTCCACATCATTCAGTATCTTCAGAAAGATAATTTAGGAGCTTTATCAAAAAAGCTTTATCATTAGCTACTTAACCATAACTCCAGTACTGGATTTTTAGAATATTTACAACCAGTGATCTTCTATAACAAATTGTGCTGTGATGTACACAAATGTTTTGCAAAATGCTATTTCCTTAAAAGAAAGATATTCCAAGAAGTGAAATTACTGGGTCAAAAGGTATGAAATTTTACATTAAAAGAAATTTAGGGACTTTTTCTGATTGTGAAAATGATTTATAGATGATCCAGAAACTCAGAAAAGCACAAGCAAATCAAGAAGCAAGGCACTGACTACCTCCAAATGGAATGGAGGTGGAGCTGTAAAATCAGAAGCACCGACTCTAGGTCCAAGGCTCCCCTCCTCCACCAAGCAGGGGTGGCCAACCTTCCCCAACCCCATGGAAAGATGGAAGTTTATTCTCTTGAGAGGATACAACTCTCAGGATGGGAAAACACCATGCAGTCTATAAAGAAAACAGAGTAATTAAATGCAAGTTTGCATACTGAATAGTGAGACTTCAGCCTCCACCCCACCCCCACTCCCATGACCATTTGATTCCCTAACACTGGTTGAGGAATAAGGCTGAAGGCAGAAGGTCTGATCTGGCCTAGAGGTTGTGAGAGCCTGCCTAGAGCTGGTGAGCTTCAGTGCCTGATGGGTGAGGAGGACCATCCAGGAAGAGATGGGGAACAGCATTTTCCAAGGCTTGATATATTTGTGGCTCAGTGTTGGGTTGGTTTTTTTTTTTTTTTTTTTTTTTTTTTTGGTGGTACTGGAATTTGAACTCAGGGCCTCACACTTGCTAGGCAGGCACTCTTTAGGGTTGTTTTTGATATGTACCACCAAGTTGCTTTCCAGAAAAAAATTGCATATTGTTTAATAGCACTGTATGAAAATGCTTATTTCAAGGCACTTGTAGTAGCATTGTTACAACTTTTAATTCCTATACTTATTAACTATTCCTTTCAATGTGTAAGCTTTGTTAACTAATGAGGGCAGACATTTTAATGCATACTTACTTCTTCAGCACTTGTGTTTCTTTTGTGAATTTTGTTTTTTGTTTATTTCTATCAGGTTTTAGTGTTGTCTGATCAGATTTTACAGCACTCTTCATAGAAAGAGAGCACTATGGCCTGAATGTTTGTGTCCCCCAAAATTCTCCCCTCAAAGGTGATGGCATTAGGAGGTAGGGCCTTTGGGCAGTGATTAGATCAGTGATTACAGTAGCCCCTTCATGAATAAGATCAGTACCCTAATAAAAAGAAGAAAAGGTCTGAAGCATAGCATGGTGGCACACTTCTGTAATCCCAGCTACTCAGGAGACTGAGGCAAAAGGATCACTTGAGCCCTGGAGTTTAATACCACCTTGGGCAAAATAGTGAGACCCATCTCAAAAAACAAAAATAAAAGACTGAGGGCTCTCACTCCTTCCACCACATGAGGACATGCTAAAGACACCACCCACAAAGAAACAGGCCCTTGCTAGACACTGAATTTCTTGGTATTTTGATCTTGGACCTCCCAGCCTCCAGAACTGAGAAAAATAAGTGTCTGTGTTTCATTTAAAAGCCACCTAGTTTATGGTATTTTGTTATAGCAGACCAAATGAATTAAGCCAGAGAAGATTTTAACCCTTTATTTGTCATATTTG